TGACTTGGGCGTTTAGATCGCCAGCCAGCACCACAATATCCGTGATTCTTCTGTAACGAAGGAGCTCGTGAAGTTGCTGATAGAAATCATCATTTACCGAATCAGTGCTACAGTTTGTAGGGGCGTAGGCCCTCATTGAGAAACAGGCACCGTTTGTCCCCGCGCGACTTCGTAGCACGGAACGAACCAGATAATCTAACGGCGCACATCCTACTGTTTACTGGGATCCAATCAATCAGGGCAGCTTCAGCCCGGAAACTCAAAACAATGCCCACGCCAGCTTGACCGGCATTTGAAGCTGCACCATCGCCAGACAGGCGCAGTGAGAATGTGCCACCAGTGTCGCATGTGGGGGATCGCAGGGTAAGTACAGAGCTCGAATCTTGCAGGCGGGTTACTGCTAAACAGCAAATGTCGATCGATAGGGTCTCTAGTGTGCGGGCAAGTGCTGCTTGTTGGTCAGTCTGTAGCAAAGTGCGCACGTTGTGACACACCAGTCTTAGCGAGACGCGAGGACTCCAAAGGGAAACGGATGAACTGACGTTGTGCGCTTGGTTGAACGTGGACTTGTCGACTGTATTGGAGCGACGCCCTGCGACTGTGTGATTTGAAACTAGGGGACAAGCGACTATTGAAGTAAGCTGGGGGAGGTCCAAGAATTGGGGGATTGAAAATGGGGGGGGATAAAAGTAAAGTTGGAGCGGGACGATAAGTATGAAGAAGCGCAAGAAGGGGATAAGAATAGGGGAAGGCCTGAGCAGTAGCATCCATACCCCTATTCACCCTGCTCTATACAGCAGATATGGCGCTGTTAATTATCCTCTGCGGTGGCCAGGGTATCAATAGATTGTTTGATGAAGGGTTCATTGTATTGTATTGCTTAGGCAGAATATTGTCAGGTTGCCCAGGCCTAGACAGGAAAACGATTAGGGTTCTCAACCAAAGCCTTTGGTTCAAAAACCTGACCGCAAGACAGCGGGTTTTGGCACTGGACTACAGAGAGCAACAAGGAAGCCACCCTTATTCCAACCCCCAACCTGGAGGACCAGGGTGCTGAGTTTGTCTGCCCTCTAACCATTGACCAATCTGGTATGAGTGGCTCTGAAGGTGTAAAGAAATGCACCGCCTATCATAGTTCAATGAATCTCTGAGGCACGCAAACCATTGCGATGGACGTGTTATTTGAACTGCGAGACTTATCAGGACATTTAGAACGTTGGGATTCGCACGTTGAAAGTCAATTTAATAGACCGGAATTATCGGATTTCTCGCTATTCATTATTCTTCTTGCTCCTTGGTCTGTTCCTTTGGATCCGACCTAGCTCGGAAGATCAACCTTACGGCGGACTACTGTCGTTCAATAAGGTCGCGACAATTCTGATCTTCACCCAGCCGTCATCAAATTCGGGGGACCTGCTATTGTGTATGTTTTGCATGAGTTATTAGCGAAACTGGGAGAGCAGAAGACTCCCAACCGACTGGAGCGACTCCTATTTTCCTGTTCTCCAAGGGTGGCTCACGTTCAAAATTCGGCAGTCACAGGGATCAGTCTGATCACAATTGCCTCTAAGTTGCTTGCTTCTGTCGTGCTCCATAGACTGTCTGGCACTCGTGAACGTCAGGCTTGCGAGGTGCGAACCGGATTTCGCTGAAATCGAGACCGTATTGACTACCTTTTCACCCTACGCCAATTGTGGGTGCACCGCCATATTGGCGACCAACCCTAGTCGTGTTCCTAGACATCAAAGGCGCCTAACATTCGGTGGATAGATGTGCTCTTTGGGACTGTCTGCTAGCGAAAGGTGTACCTAACAAATATGGATGTCATAAAAGCACTTTACGCTCAAATATCGGGCAGAGTGAGGGTTTATGGCAGACTGTCGCCTCCCTTTAACATCTCCGGCGATGTGAGTCAAAGTTGCCTAGCGTCACCTTTCCTATTTATGTTCGCCATTGATGAAGTCATGGGAATGGAACTCACTAGACATGACAAACGGTGTGGAGCCGCTTCCTTATGAGCGACTTTTTGACTTCGTGTATGCCGACGACATTGACGTAATGCGTGACAGCTCCCAAAAATGCCAAACAGCACTGGATATTGGCTGACGGTCTTTTCGGACTATGCTTTCCACCCTTGAAGATCAAAGTCCTCCACGATTGATAGGGACACTCCTGCGCTGACCGTTTACGGTGATCAGCTAGAAGGCGTCCAGAAGTTCAGGTATCTGGGCAGCTTTATTAGCGCCCGTGGAATAGAAGATGAGGTTACGAACCGTATAGCAAAAGCTCGATGTGATTTTGGCAATCTCCGCCACTTGTGGCGCTGGTGCGACATCACTGTCGCCCTAATGGGCAAACTTGACAACGCAGCCGTGCTTTCAACCCTCCTATACTGCTGTGGAACCTGGCCTATCAGATCGACAGACCTAAGGAGGCTTGTTGCGTTCGACTATCGATGTCTTGGCAGTTTGTCTCATGTCTGGTGGGAGCACCACGTGAGCAATGAGCATTTTCGGCATCTTGTATTCGGTGTTGGAAGTGCGAATGAACCGCTCAACACCATTATCTCATGCGCCAGGCCCCGGTGGCTGGGTCACGTGTTGTGTATGGCTTCACACCGACTCCCATGTCGTGCGTTGTTTGTGCGCCGGGGGTGTGGGTGGAAGCAGTGGAGGAGAGGAAAAGCGATGACTTGGTCGAGAGGAATGAAAACTCTCTTCGAATTTGTCGTCGGTTGGTGCATCCCGACTGCCTGACCGGGGTTCGGTGGACGATGAGCACATTTGGTTGGTTGCACTTGCTGTTGTGGCGAAGAGTTGACCTCACTTGCGTGTGTTGTGTGTTTCTTCGCCTTTCCGCTTTCTGCTTTTCCCCCTTCAACAGCATCTCACTATGTATAGATAATATGACTGTAGCACTATGTTGCTTGCTTTTTAGTTTTCTACTCTATAATTTTTCGTGACCCTTTCTTCATATATCTTTCTGTGTTGCGGCACAGCTGAAGTGTGTGTAATTCCGATGATGATGACTGATCATACGCGTAGCGCTGCGCGCTTCGGAATGCGCTTTGCGCCTTCAAAGTGCAAAGTTCTGTTGCAGGACCGAACCGATACGCCACCGTTTCTAGCTATCCCCTATCAGTCATTAGAAGTAATGAATTGGTCCTCTTCCCCTGGTAGCTATATCATCTCTGTTGATCACATCACTGTGAGAGTTCGCTTTTCAGCAAGACTCGTTTGGCTTTCCAGAGGCGCGGTATGAACGTGTGTGTGTGAAAGGCAAGGTGTATAACGCTGCAGTAAAGTCGGTGTTACTGAGTGGATCAACGACCTGGCCAGTCCGACGTGAAAGCATTAAACGCTTGGCTGTGTTTGATCCGTCAAAAAAGTCATCGGCATTACGCCACCACACTGTAACTACGCTTCGTTTCCACGCGACCACCACCGGTCTTACGCAGGCTGGGTATACCACGAGGGCGCCCGCCCCTACGCAGATTCGAACTGGTGACCTGAGGATTGCAAGCCAGGAATGCAATCCTTTTGGCCACGGTCCGACTTGATCACTGATGCGTACCGAGCATTGGTCACATTTGGTGTGAATGTCGTCTGAGTTGTGCTGAGATCTACTATTTGGTTTTTGACACTTCTCCTTCCGGTGCTTCACGCGAGTATTTGCCAAACTCAACCGCTTTCTTTGGCTAGGTCATGTCCTCCCTATGCCCGTTGACTGACTTCATCGGCGGCCGGCTCGTACCCTTACTGACCACAAGCCTGCCTTGTAATTAGGGTGTGAGTTCGAGCCTGCGTAGGGACCGAACGACCCTCGCAATATCCTTAGTCTACGCGAGACTGCTGGTGGTTGCGCGCCAGCGAATTGTCGGTACTGCGTACCGGCGTACGGCTAATACCTGCGTCATCGGCGTGCATTAGACGCCATGATTGCACCACGTTGGGTGAAACCGCGAGGTGGCCACTCGATGACATGGCATTAGAGCATGAAATTGATCAAGAGACTTAGTCAGACTGGTGCGGGGCCCCTGAATGATCCACCTCAGTGGTTAGAGATCATATTAGACATGGCAGGGTCACACCGTCAGTGGCGTACCTACATTCGTTTTCTTACATCTGACTGTTAATTTTCCTTCCATCCCGATTGGGTTAACGCGCTTTATTTATCCAATTTTCTTTAAATTCTATTTGAACTCAACTTCATATTCTTGCCGTGACGTGAATCGTGGCAACTGTATACACCGCACTTCGGCACCCCTGCCATAGTTGTTCAACTAAACTAAACTGAGCCTTGCTGCTTCGTAGTGTGTTCTTTAACATGCACCGTGCTTACACTGTTAGGAGGAACGGCTCTTCGCAAGCATGTTGATATCCTTTCCATAGTCTGGAAACTTACTTGTCTTATTGACTCTTCATTGATTGATTCTGTTAACTTGTCGGTTATTCCCTGTTAGCCGGATAACTTATTTTGACTTGTTTTTATCCTTCAAAGCTTTTCCATCGCCTGTATCTTTATTCTAGCCTTAGCTCTTAACAGTTTTCCTTATCTTTCCACTCTTCGCATTCTGCTTTCTATATGTCCAAACTGACTCAGATGATGTTTACACTCTCCCCGTCTGTAACACTCTTGAAGACATGGCCCGCAACCGGAATCATTGGAAAAATTATGTACGCAATTGTAGTGATTCACATGTTTAATACTTCAAACATTAAAAATGACGGAAAAAGAGAAAAATCAGATGTGAAAAACAAACTAAACATGTTTTGTTCTACTTTTTGTCAAAATGGTCCTTTCTTCCTGCGGCATAGTAGCTGAAGTGTGTTGCTCACCTTCAACTACTATGTCACGATGATTATGACGCGATGACTTCCACTTATCCGCTGATCTCCATGGTTTTTATTGGCTTTGTGTAGTTGCTAGACAGTTGAGATTACATACATGCATACATCTCCGTCTGTGTTTCACTGTAAAAACTCTACTGTCCTTTACAGGCTGCCTCTCCAAACACATACGCTGAAATTTCGTGCGGGCCTGAAGGAACAATTGACCCTGCCTCCTTCAGCGAGCACAAAGATGTAGAAAAATGTGACAGGGAACGATGGTTTTCTACCGGCAATGCCTTCGAGCAACATCCGGGGTCCACTTTGAACGCGTCATCAGATTCCACATGTCCCGTCCCAGGTGCCCTCACTGACCCCGGTCAAAGAAGGCTTGATTTGGATTTCGCTAAACTGCGAACTTGTGGAACCAGCTACCGCGCTTTACCCGCTAACTTTCCCCAAGCCAAGTGCTCTGGGCGCCTCAAGTGCCCTATTGCTAGAGAAGTGGGTCATTCGTCTTCCCATGTCTGATCAACGTTCCTTTCACCCTCCATTCGGTAGTGTACTTTCAGATAGAATATTTATTAGTACATTTTCACATATGCATCCTGCCGCACGGTTACTCATGTTTCAAAACTAGGGCACATTGGTGTTATTATCTAATCACCTCACTAGTTTCTAGTGACGCATCTCGCATTTCTGCGCTGCGAGTTGTCATAGCAGTTATTCCACTTTTCCAGTGATTTACCGCTTCTGTTGCCCATATTTCGTTTATTTCGGGATAGTCTATCACACATTTTGAGTATCCGTCTCAGCAATTGTCACATACTCCGCTTATCTCATAACTATTGTCTGGGTTTTCTCCTAAGCTCAAAAAGAGTTATCGTCTTGTGCCCTTTCGCTGAGTAGCGTCCCCCCATAACGCTTGGAGTTTCCTTAATGCAAACGCAATCATCGTAATCACTATCAGTGTACGTCAGCTGAGAGTAGGATACACATCTCAACTAATGTGCCGCAATACAAAAACGATCAGAGATTAAATATTAGACTACAGAACCTAAAAAGCAACATAATACGAAATATATGATGCACTGTGTTTGAGCACGTTGTTGGAGCGGGAAGGTATAAGGGAGGGTATGGACAAACAGTCTCACAACACAAACGCCATTGTGATCGGCACTTCGCCATATCAGCAAGTGTATCCAACCAAATGTGCTCATCGTCCGCCGAACCCCAGCCCGACAGTCGGGACATAACTAACGACGCCATTTTCGAGGTGAAGCTTGTCATTGCTGTCGATCAAGTCATCGCTTTTCCTCTCCTCCACTGCTTCCACCCACACCCCCGGCGTACAAACAACGCACGACATGGGAGTCGGTGTGAAGCCATACACAACACGTGACCCAGCCACCGGAGCCTGGCGCATGAGATAATGGTGTTGGGCGGTTCATTCACACTTCCAACACCGAATACAAGATGCCGAAAATGCTCATTGCTCACGTGGTGCTCCCACCAGACATGAGAGACAAACTGCGAAGACATCGATAGTCGAACGCGACAAGCCTCTTTAGGTCTGTCGATCTGATAGGCCAGGTTTCACAGCAGTATAGGAGGGTTGAAAGCACGGCTGCGTTGAAAGTTTGCCATTTAGGGTGACAGTGATGTCGCACCGGCGCCACAAGTGGCGGAGATTGGCAAAACCACAGCGAGCTTTTGCTATACGGTTCGTAACCTCATCTTCTGTTCCACAGGCGCTAATAAAGCTGCCCAGATACTTGAACTTCCGGACGCCTTCTAGCTGATCACCGTAAAGGGTCGGTGCATGGGTTGTTCTCTGCCAATCTTGGGGAGGGTCTTCGCACTACGCAAACCTGTTAGATGTATCCATGCATTGGCTCCCAAGCCTAAGTTTTTGCTTGGAGTTACTTTACACTCACTGAACGTTGGTTTTCCCTGGACTCAGCTTTGCCGAATTTCGACAGTTGCAGACGATGCTTATCAATCCATGACTACCTCAATTCCGACCATTGTATCGTGTGCGCTTGCCCTAACAAATTACGCACCCTTGAGGCTTCATGCTAGGCGCTTTCACTCGCAGTCCATCAGACAATAATACCACTCATGATCAAGACACTCCTTACCAAAAAACGACACTGGACCTTAGTGTGATGCTATGGTTCGCGTACCCCCGTGGCCCATTGAGCTATGCTGCGTGGCACTTTCCAAGTGCTTTCAGAGCCACTCATACCAGACAGGTCAATGGTTATGGGTCAGACTAACTCAGTTTCACAATCCAATCCTCTTTGGAGGTTAAAGGGAGGTCGATGGCTGTCTTCCTTTAAAACAGCCATGGAAGACAACAGGTCTACGGGCTATAAGCTCACAGTTTGTTTGGCGTAGAACACGTGCGTCGCACGTTGTCTCTGATGGTGGAAGAGCACCTTCTGGTGCTCAGTGGTTTTCTACCGCCTGTCTCAAGCTGGGCAGTCCCTAGTCAGCTTGGTGCAAATCCGTCAACTCCCACTTGCTGCTGGCCGTGGTCTCAGGTGCGTAACTTTATACGGTCGTAAAACATGAAGATTGTTCCCAATCTTCAAAGACTGTGAGTGACGCCTCAAGCAGATCCCATCTTGTCTCTGCAATCACATTCCCGAGCTGGATTTGTTCCCCACTGCCTTGTGGGTCAGACTGTTGAGTGGAAGATTAGGGGTAGGGCACCTCGAACAAAACGCCTCTCAACATGGGCAGCCAGAGAGTATCATCTGCCCTCTAGACCACGTCGAAAATTTTCCCTCTACTTATTTTTCTCTCCTTTCTCAACTCCCTTCATCCCGATATATTGACTAAGAATCTGCCACTGACCTCACTGCTTCTGTCATCGGTACTCCTACCTTGTCCATCAAACCACGAATCTCCTTTCACATTGGTTCTTTTAACGTCTGCACTCTATGTCAGATCGGTCAACAAACGGCACTGACTTGCACTCTTCACTCTCTTGGTATTGATGTGTGCTGTATCTCCAAAACACGCATACAAGATAACACCGTTGTGAGGAATCTTCGACTCCCTGGTTCTGAATCTGACGACAATGATTACACTCTTCGCGTCTTTGGTGATACCGAGTCAATGGCTCAAGGTATTACCGGTGTTGGTATCGCCCTCAGCAGACATGCTGAAGGTAATCCACTCGATTGGATACCGGCGCATAGCCGCATGTAAGCGGTTCGACTTCGAACGTCGAATGAAGTTAATATGCACCGTATGAAGACAATGTGCCTTTTCATCGCCTCCGTTTATGCTCCTACTGACTGCAGTTTGGAGGCTACCAAAGATGATTTCTACTACCATCTTTCATCTCTTCTCCGCATGGCGAAGAATACTGGTGACCTAAATGCCCAAGTGGGTCGTCTTTCAGACTATGAACAACACCTAGGAGGGCGCTTCGTACTCGATGCACTCGAAACATACAGTGATGATCGATTCTTGCAACTGTGCGCCGACCACAATCTTTATAGTAGCAACACTGCTTTCCAGCACAAACGTTCACACCGCGTCACCTGGCGCCCACCGAATTCCTCAGTGACATGGACCCAAATTGACCATATTGCCATCAGCTACAGGTAGCTCACATCAGTCCAAGACATGACTGAATTCCGATCATGCTCTATTGCGCGCGCCTAGCGTTCACTCTTTTCACTTCAAAGAAGCGCCTATCTAATTTTCTTACCTGTAACTCGAACTCGCTCTGTGCGGTTCATTAATATCATAACGAACTGTCCCACCAATTGTCAGTGATGAATGAGGTTGGTGATCCGAACGTTAACTGAGATCTTCTCAGGTGTGCCATGAAGTGTGGATTTGATGCTTGCTGTGCACCCGACTTGAGTTGTAACTGCGAATGGATCTCTGCAGCATCGACCAGCTTGCTCGAAGCACGTAAACTGGTTCCGATGAGCAGCGCATTCGGAACTCACTGAAACGACGTATGACAAGAATCTTCGGGTTGACCGCGAATGTTGGTGGATTGCAAAAGCCCATGAGATGGAGAAAGGCAGTGCTGTTGGAAACAGCCGGGTGCTATTCCAGCTCGTCTGGAACACGGGTCTGAGAAAGCTGTCAGTTAGGGAGACACTATCTGATAAAGATGGACTGTTGATCTCTTCTCAGCGTCATCGATTAGCCCGTTCGGTGGAACATTTTGAGGAGCATTTCAGCAGCCCTGCTGCGACACTGTCGCTTGCCGAATCACCTGAGCCGACGTGGGAAATAGATGTCACATCTCCCATTTTGGAAGAGATTCGACATGTGCTCGCCGTGTTAAAGCGAAACAACGCTCCGGGACCCGACGATTTTCCCCCTTCTTTGCTGAAAGATGGCGTTCGCTCTGTTGACTGGACTTGCTCCTCTTTTTAACACGATTTCTGACACTGAAGAAGTGCTTTCAGACTAGCGACTATCATCTGTGGTGCCCGTCTTCAAGAGGTCTCGGCGCACTGTGCGAAAATCACCGAGGCATTAGCCTTATTTCCATTGCCTCATAACGGGTATCATTCTTCGACGATTTACTGATCCCCGTGAGGACGGAATCATTGAAAGCCAGGCTGGCTGCTCTGGATGTGGTTGCAATGACCATATATGTACTCTTCGCTAAGGTTTAAAGCATAGACATACTTACAGACGACCATGCTTATTTCCTTTTACCCTGTTGACTGCGCCTGCTTTTGGCGCTGTCTATCCATGAAGGGCATGTCCGCTAAACTCATTTTCATTCTGAAGTCCCTCTACTGTGATTCGCGAGGCCGTGTAACGGTCTACGGGAAACTATCTCCTGAGTTTCCTACCACAAGTGGGGTTCGCCAGTGTTGTCTCATATCTCCTTTCCTCTTCAACTTTGTGATCGAAATGCTCATGAATGACTTGGTTCATCCAGACTATTCTGGAGTGGAAATTTTGCCAGGCGACCGACTGACAAACCTGGAGTATACGGACTACGCATCTCTCCTAGGGTCTGATGCATTGGCTAGATAAACACTACTGCACAGACTTGTGGGTAGCGCTGTACGGTTCGTTGTATACTTTGCACCTTTAAAGTGCTGTTGCAGGACTTGGCTGATACACCTTCGGTTTTAGCAATTTCTACACAGCCACTGGAAGTGGTGGATCGGTTCACTTACCTTGGTATGTGTGTCATCTCTGGTGGTCTCATCACTGAGGAGGTTACTTCGCGTATCCGCATGGCCCGTGTGGCTTTCCAGAGACTCAATCATCTATAGAGACAGTGGGATATCAGCTTGTCAGTGAGAGGTATGGTGTATAACGCTGCGATAAGGCCAGTGTTACTGTATGGATCAGAGACATGCCCAGTTCGCAATGAAGATATTAAACACTTGGCCGTATTTGACCACCAGTGCTTGCGTAGTATTGCTCCCGTTTTGTGGTAACACCGAGTGGGTAATACTGAGGTCTGCCAGTTGGTTTTTGGCCAGAAGCCTTCTAGTGACTCACTCGAGTGTTTGATTATCCTAGTCGCTTGCGTTTTCCAGGTCTTGCCCTCCGTATGCCCGTTGATTGGCTTCCTCGGTGTGCATTATATGCGTGGCTGCACCAAGTTGGGCGAAATCGCGACGTTACCAAACCATGACATGGCATAGAAGCTTGAAGCAATTGACTGAGAGACTTGGTCAAGCTGGTGCTTGTCGTCTTCGTGGATGGGGGCCTCGAGACGGTGCAAATCAATGGTTGGAGACCCTGTCATATGTGGCGCAGTCAAGAAATCAGTGGCGTTGCTACCTTCGGCTTCTTTCATCAGGCCGTTAATTTTCGTTCCATTCTTTGTAGTCTAACACATTTCCTTCTGGCTTTCCTCTTCTCTACTCTCTGTTTGCATTCAACGTACAATCCTACCGATGTTATTTATTGTTATTCTTACGATGTGAGATTTGACTACTGGATTCACCGCATTTCTCTGATGTGATCATAGCTGATCAGCTGAACTGAGATGTGCACGTTACCGATGCGCTCTAATCGACCCAACTACAGTGTGAAAGTTCCATACAGATCTACTTCACAGCTGCATGCAGCCTTGAAACCCAAGCCATTTTTGGTTGACTGACTAAAGTAATTTGTCTGAAGCTTTGGTTCCCTTTTTTCCTGTCCTGAATTCCATTCAATACCGAGACTAACGAATCTGTCGGCGACCCGATGAGCAATCACTTCATGGATCTACTTTCGGCCTCGCTGTCCTTATACTTGTATAATTTTTATGTGCTTCCTCTTCTGCAGTTAACCTACAGTCCTTACGCCACGAATTCGATCTCTCGTTCCTTCATGGGCTCTGTCACCCATGGCAGCTAAGCATTTGTTCCAAGCTGTGGTGTATTTCTGACACCTACGCTTACCGTAACTGTGACTATTGTGCCAACTTGTGAACTTACTGTGACAAGGTAAAATGTACGGACCGCATCAACTCACCAAGTAATGAAACACGCGATGGTGTCCGCTCATTTTGATTTTTTTGTCATTTCTACGTTGTTGATGCTATATCATCTCCGTCGTCTGCGCGGCCAACATGATGCACTCTCCTGTAATGATAACGGTGAGTGGTTGTCGCACCTATGTGAAGATGCTCGTCACTTTTTTGCGAGCACTACATTTCGACAAAGCACTCGCGCGGAGAGTGACAGCGCTCACCAGCCTCGGACCGCTGGGGAGGCTGAGTCCAAAACTGTCGCTCAATTTGGAGCACGAGTGTGGACTCCTTTCACGCTCTTGTGTGTGCTGACCTTCGGGTGCATTTCGGCGGAAGTCCGCAACGTCAGTGTGCGCACATAAACTCCAGCCAACTGACGAAGCCATGTGTTCTGAATGCGTACCAAAGTACGCTGGCATCCGGGCTGAGTAAGCCCCCACTGAACACCGTCGAAGATCACTGATTGCATATTCATCAAACGTCACTACTAGCAGTCATGTCTTCATGTGGCAACTCCAATTGCCACCCTGGACATTGGGTCTCCACACTGTTTGTGGATGCCCGCCGATGCACACCGGCTGGAAGCGAATACAGTGTGACTCGCAGAAACCCCAGGGCAAAACTTCGTGCCAGTTTGAAGAGAAACCGCAAAGCCTGGTGGTCTCATCTTGCATCGGAGCTGGAAACTGCCGCTGCTGTTGGAGACCATTTTAAGTTATTCCGTATGATACGAGAAACGGGCAGCAGGCGACGTGATGTTTGCTAAACCATACGCGACGAGAGTGGACAGCCGATCCACAGCTTGTCAAAACGCTTGGAGCGTTGGGTCGAATACTTTGAAAAGTAGTTTAATTAGCCTGAGTTATCACTTTCTTTCTCGGGCATTGATTGCCCTTCCTCTTGGGCCGTCTTGAGTCAGCCATCATGCACAGAAGGCGAACGTGAGATCAGTCTGATAAAATTGAACAAGTCCTCAGGCGCAAATAGACTTTCTCTAGTCCTCTTAAATTCGGGGAACATGCTATTGTGGATTAATTGCACAATTCACTCGTGAAGCTGTGAGAGCAGGCTGCCCAAGCAGACTGGAGCCGCTTCAGCATAGCCCCATTTTTCAAGGGAGGCTCACGCACAGAATGCGGCAATCATAGGGGAGTCAGTCTGCTCTCAATTGCCTCTATCTTCCGTGCGTCTGTCGTTCTCTACAATTTGATTGTCACTCAGTAATGTCATATTCGTGAGGGGCAAGCTTGATTTCGCCGAAATCGAAGCTGCGTCGACCACATTTTTACTTTGCGTCAGTTGTTAGACCACCGCCATATTTATTGGCGACCCAGCGAGTCGTGTTCCTAGAAATCAAAGTGCCTTCGATTCGGTTGGTCGATACGCCCTTTGAGACTGTCTGCTCAGGAAAGGTGTGCCCGCTAGATAAATAAAAATTATCCGGGCGCTGTACGCGATTGTTGGGGCAGAAGAAGGGTTTGTGGCAGACTGTCGCCTCCCTTTAACATCTCCGGCGATGTGAGTCAAAGTTGCCTGGCGTCACCTTTCCTATTTATGTTCGCCATTGATGAAGTCATGGGAATGGAACTCACTAGACATGACAAACGGTGTGGAGCCGCTTCCTTATGAGCGACTTTTTGACTTCGTGTATGCCGACGACATTGACGTAATGCGTGACAGCTCCCAAAAATGCCAAACAGCACTGGATATTGGCTGACGGTCTTTTCGGACTATGCTTTCCACCCTTGAAGATCAAAGTCCTCCACGATTGATAGGGACACTCCTGCGCTGACCGTTTACGGTGATCAGCTAGAAGGCGTCCAGAAGTTCAGGTATCTGGGCAGCTTTATTAGCGCCCGTGGAAAAGAAGATGAGGTTACGAACCGTATAGCAAAAGCTCGATGTGATTTTGGCAATCTCCGCCACTTGTGGCGCTGGTGCGACATCACTGTCGCCCTAATGGGCAAACTTGACAACGCAGCCGTGCTTTCAACCCTCCTATACTGCTGTGGAACCTGGCCTATCAGATCGACAGACCTAAGGAGGCTTGTTGCGTTCGACTATCGATGTCTTGGCAGTTTGTCTCATGTCTGGTGGGAGCACCACGTGAGCAATGAGCATTTTCGGCATCTTGTATTCGGTGTTGGAAGTGCGAATGAACCGCTCAACACCATTATCTCATGCGCCAGGCCCCGGTGGCTGGGTCACGTGTTGTGTATGGCTTCACACCGACTCCCATGTCGTGCGTTGTTTGTGCGCCGGGGGTGTGGGTGGAAGCAGTGGAGGAGAGGAAAAGCGATGACTTGGTCGAGAGGAATGAAAACTCTCTTCGAATTTGTCGTCGGTTGGTGCATCCCGACTGCCTGACCGGGGTTCGGTGGACGATGAGCACATTTGTTTGAATGCAGTTGCTGCCTTCTGTACTCGTACTTTTGAGCTACGTCTATCCTTCGTCTATTCTAACTGATTCGTTACTGGGAACACGTTTTCAGGCTCATACATGCATAGTAGCTTAAAGTGGAATGGTGGTCAGTTATGGATATGTTACTTGTTAGATTGAGTAGCATTTTCGTGGGCCGTGTTGACATTGTTACCAAAGGCGGTTTTCACGTTTGTGCACAAGAATAACACCAAATGCGTGCTTCGGTAGAAATGGTTCGACTACTGTCGAGTACTATAAACATGATTTGCACCCAACAGCCCAGTCACGCTCTAATGGTGTTTGCAGTATCAGACTGTCGTTTTCATTGTCTGCTCGGTTGAATTGTCGAGGCGTTTGGCTTGTGGCAAGGCATCCGCTGATTCAAATCTCGAGTACTCACTACTTGAATCGCCTAAATGACGTGGACACTACTTACAACTGTCATTTCCGACTTCGCTTTCATTACTTTGTGCACAACGGTAATATTATCTCGATGTTGCTCTCCCACAGGTACTCAATGACTCGTTCATCAGCTTCTCATCACTCACTTCCGAAGATTCCCAATTTGTTTCCTCAAAAAAGAATCAGTACGAGGAGCACATGTATCGTGTGGAAGACGAGCGCTATGAAGTTGATATGGTCATCGAACTCAATCGGGCCGCTATGCAAAATCTGGTCGTCGTTAAACGACGAATGGATCGCATGAATCGTGAAGAACTCAGTCGATTTACTTTGGACGAGAGTCTCAGCGGCACCTCAGCAATTTTAATGCGCAAGGCTATTCACAGGTATGTCTTTATATTAATTGATGGATCACGCTTGGCGCTCCTGGAAATGGCAGTTTACTCTGTGCTTTATCCAATCACCACCAACCCTATCGTGCGCTACTGGTCACTTTCCTCTACCCTCATAAATTCATTTATTATACACGTTAGCTAAAGGTGGAAAACACGGCTACTTTGCCGCAATACATGTAAAACAAAGGGGGAGAAATGCAACAGGTGCAAGCCAGTTGAGATACCGGTAACCGATGGATATCGTTCCGGTAAACTATCAGCTGGCTAATATGCAGCAAAACTTACTATGCAAAATTATATAAGGCCAACTAGTGAGGTCGTAAATGGAGGGGGGCTAAGAGGGATGGGGTGGGACAAAGAAACTCACAGCACGAATGCCACTGAGTTCGGCTCCGTGCCATCTCAGTAAGTGTATCCAGCCAAACGTGTTCATCGTCTTTCGGACCCCAACCAGGTAGCCGACGCTCCAACCGAGGCCAGCTTCGAAATGAGGGCCTTCATTCCTCTCGACCAAGTCATGGCTTGGCCACCCCTCCTCTTGTTCCATCCACACCCCCGGTGAGCAAACAACGCACGTCGCAGAAATCGGTGGGCTGCCATGCGCAACACGTGGCCCAGCCATCGGAGCCTGGTGCGTGAAATAACGGTACTGAGCGGTTCATTTCCTTTTCCTGTGCCGTAAACAAGGCGTCAAATACGCTCGTTGCTTAGTCGGTGTTCCCACCAGATGTGAGCCAAACTGCGAAGGTACCGATGGTCGAACGTAACTCGCCTCTTTATGTCCGCTGATGAAAGGTACTAGGTTTCATAACCGTACAGTAGGGTCGAACTTACTGCTGCATTGTGTACTCTGCCCTTCAGGGCGGAAGTGATCTCGCGCCGGCGCCACTTATGGCGCCGGCTAGCAAAAGCGCCTCGAGCTTTTGCTATCCGGTTCGTGATCTCATCTTCAATTCCCACGGGCGCTGTTACAACCTCCCAGGTAGTTGAATTTTTGAAGGACTTCTAGTTGATCCCCACCAAGGGTCAGCGAAGGAGGCGGTCCAGACCAATCTTGGAGGAACGCTTTGCACTTCGAGGGTGCGAAGCAAAGCCCGAAGTGACGGACAGCCAGTGATAATCTGTCCAGTGCCGCTTGGCACCTTTGTGAGCTGTCACAGATTAGGGCAATATCGTCAGAATACTCCAAGTCAAGAAGTCGTTCTCCTGGGAGCAGATCCACACCATCTATATCGTGTCTTGTGAATGCGATTTCCATGACTTCGTCAACAGCGAAGTTGAAGAGGAAAGGTGACAGCGGACATCCTTGTCTTACACCGCTGGAGGTATTAAAGTGCGGCGACAGATTGCCGTAAGCCCTCACTCTGCTTCAGCTACGCGCGTATAATGCTCGGATAATATTGACATATTTCTCAGATACACCTGAGTAGACAGTTCCAAAGTGCACGTCTGTCCACCGAATCGAATGTACCTTTGATATCGAGGAACACGACAACGGTGGGCCGCCAATATGTGTGACGGTGCTCCAACATTTGACGCAAAGTGATGATGTGGTCAATGCAGCCATGACCTCGACGAAATTCAGCTTGCTCTTCACGAATCTGGCTTTTACGAGTGCCAGTCAGTCTGTGAAGGAGTATAGAGCCAAGCAATTTGGAGGTGACGGAGAATAGACTGATTCCTCTATGGTTGCCGTATTCCGATCGAGAGTCTCCCTTGAAAATTGGGACTGTGACGGAGCGGCTCCAGTCGGTTGGGAAGGTTTCATGTTCCCACAGTTTTACTAGTAACTCATGTAAATCATCCACAAGAGCAGAGCCTCCGAATTTGAGGAGGGCTGGAGGAAGATCATCTGGTCCCGCGGCTTTGTTTAACTTCAACAGTCCGATCTCACGTTTGACTTCTGAGCGAGAGGGTGGATCTAAATGGACAACCCACGGAGCATGGCGATCAGTGGCCGGTGAGAAATCTGACAATTCCTACGGAGTAAATTGCCTTTCAAAGTGCTCAGTCCAACGGTCTAAGCGTTTTGACAAGTTGTGGATAGGCTGTCCACTCTCGTCACGTATAGTTTCACTAACACCAGGTCTCCTGCTGCCTGTTTCCCGTATCAGACGGAATAACTTACGATAACTGCCGAGCGCAGTGGCCATTTCCATCTCTGAAGCAGGATGAAACCGCCATGATTCGCGGTCTCTCTTCAGGCTAGCACGAAGTTTTGCTCGGATCTCTTTGCGCGCTTCATTGTATTCGCTTCCAGCTGGAATATGCCGGTGAGCATCGATAATTTCCAGAGACTGCGAAGAGGCAAAATGTCCACTTGGCGATTAGACTTACCACATGAGGATTTTCCTGCTGATAGTAAGGTCTGGCAAATATGAGATCAGTGAGCTTCAATTGCATCCAGTGAGCGTTTATCCAACTCGCATGACAGCGTACTTTGATAGGCATTCAGAACAGCGGGTTTCGCCAGTCGGCTGGTGTCATTGCACTCACAGCGTCGTCGTGGTCGTCCACTGAATTGCATCCGCAGGTCAGCACATACAGGTGCATGGTCGGTGTCCACACATGGGCTCTAAATCGAGCGACAGTTCTGGACGCAGCCTCCATCGGTAGCTTATCGCAATGTGATCTTCCTCTACCCTCCGCATTTCCGGAAGGTCTCGATGTTTCCTTCTGACATAAATTGTCCGTCTCCTTTTTGAAGCTGAGCTGGCCGATGATGGTTTCACTGGAACCATTTGCTAAGTGACGTGTTATTTGCAACATGTACTTTTGTATCATGCAAGAAAGCCTTCATTATCATTTATTTTGCATGAACTAGATCGTTCTCGTGTCTTCCGTGCTTGTGATAAACGAGGCCTTTTACCTTCGTCTAACTCAGCGTAAATTCACCAGGTTTACTCGCCAGCTCATTTACTTAGAGCTCAATAAACTCCGCCATCTGTGGCAACCCACTTTAGCTATCCATAGTCGTCTGTTTTTGAGCGAATAACGGGGATTAATTGTTTATGTCTAGTTCATCACGACTAACTTCTGTGCGACAGCCACTGCTCCCCCCGGAAAGGCACTAGACGATCCTCCATACATTTGTCCACAATTCAAATTCTCCCCTATATGAAAATCGCGCCCGCGACTCATCCACTATTAATACTTACAGTTCCTTGTTATTACATATGGCGACAGTCGGCATGGCTAAATACGCAGTTTTCCTGCAGATTCGATTCGGCCTGCACGCAGTAATCGGTAGACGTAACCCATAAGCCGTTTTTTCCACACACTGACCTACCTTAGGAACACTGCTGCGTCACGCCCTCAGTATGCTTTCTACGCTCCTTCCTCTTTACCTTTCTATACTCTCCGTCACAGCTGTGACAAATATTCCCCCATATTTCATATCTGGACATGATAGCGCAGGGTTTTCCGATCTGGTCGATGGCACGTTCTGGATAGTATTTATCACCCGCTCACCATTACTCGCCTATTGCCCATTTGCACCTCAAGCGTTACGTTACCATTCAGTGAAAATGGGACCACGCCCTCGCATTCTGAGGATAATGGTGGGCCCGCGGCGATAATCAACCGAACTGCTCGAACAAGTGCGGAAGATTGTTCCAGCCAATTGGGCTGAGTCGGGCATGGTGTTCATATTCATGAAGTGCAGTCGCGCTGCTCATGTCGATTTCAAGAATGTCAACTGGATGCTGGCATAGTTGTTATTCTCCACTCATCCGCCGCTCTGCTCCGAAACGGGAATCCTTGATGAAAGCAAAATGTTCAGCTTTTCGGCCGGACAGGTGCTAGAGCAGCGCCACATGGTACCGCAAGCTGATTACTGTGGTCTTCCACAATTTCAAAAGTGCAGCTGACTTAGTCGACTGCTCCTTCCTGTTCACCACAGTTACCCGACAAGGCGTCAACATCAGTTGTGCGAAAATTTTACATACATTCCACTCAATTATCTCAGTTTGCATCAGGATTTGGACGCATCGACAACAAGTGACCTTCCTCGGAGTCGTACTTTTCCACACTCTGGAAGATGATAAGCACCAATTCCACTCAGTCTATCGGTCGGTTACTTTTTCATCTTACTGTCATCGATTAGCCGTTCGGGAACTTCACACAAACAAACGTACTATCCAAAAACGCACTGAAAAGTGTTGCCTGGCCAGCACAGTCGTTCAACCGTAACACGGAGTCACGGGGTCCGTTGTCAAATCTTAACTCGGCGGCTTCAATTGTGTAGTTAGTTGGATCCTATTTGCCCGTCCCATCATTGTGAACATCAGCAAAATCGGTGTTACTTTGCAGTCTCGATTGCTTGTAGAGTTGGCTGGATATCAGACTAAGCCATGGGTGTCATCACGCTACAACAGGACTGGTGCTTAGGTGCAGATCATAAGCATGGAAACTGCGTGCCGAAGACATTAATTGGCTGTCGCTCATGTACTATGTGATAGCAAGGCCGATTGAGCATCACGAAAGCTGACCGACAAATGTTTGGGATGCGACTCTTCATCCTTGTTCAACCTGATCCGCTTGTGTTGTCCAAATCATCTCCTTCTTAGACCTATTTACCACCTGAATTGGTTCACACTACGGACTGAACAGTTGATTGCGTAGCCGAAAGGCATGAAAAATTGACTGCTCAACTTGGTTTGCACCTCGGAATGGACCACATCATGCGCTCTCACATGACACTTCCAGCGAACTGCTCAGCTCTGATATTGCTGGCTCGTCGTCCCTTATACTCGCAGCCCGTGAGACGGCGATATCAATATGATCCCCATCACCTGCATTGTCAGATGCCTATTAGAATCGCCTCCGATGCATTAAGAAAACTATTTCAAAGCTTTGGCGCAAGCATCTTGACCATAGAAGTGTTCCCGAGATTTCTCACAGTTTTCAGTAGACAGAGCGTTCTCCGTCCATGGATCTGGCGGTCTCTTTGATTTACGTCCTGCGGTTTGTTAAACTGACCTGGGGTCGTGACTTGTTCTTCTGGAATTGGTAAAAAGCCGTGTTTCTTTTTGTCCACGACTGCTAGCGACGGAATTTCAGTGAAAAACGCAGAGAATTCCATTTCCATTGAATAAGCTGACCTGTATCCTTCAATAGCACGCCAGACCTAGTCGATCAAACGCATTTGTCACGATCGTGTGATGCGGTTAGCAGGCCAAATTTCTGAAACAATGAATTTCGCCTATTTTTCTAGTCGTCACCACTTTTACCTCTGGATATTTGATCATACTCTCACGGATGTTTACCACTCCGAATTATGTCTCGCTGTCTTTGCCTCTTGTATCTGCGCTAGAGTTGTCTCATTCGCGTTTTTGTCCTCCTGACGATATGGGCTTAGGCAGCTAACCCCACTGCACTCCGACCCCAGTTCCTACTTTACCCAGTGAAGCAAGCTATCTGAACCTGATCTTCGTTTTGTGAAATTGTTCTCAGAATTCGATTTTTTTTATCTACAGCTGACAGTCTTTCCGGATTAATAGCGCGCCTCTGATCTTCCATAAATCCCAGGAACTGCCTTCTGACTGTACTTTCTTGATTGCTGCTGATTGTGTTGCAGCCATTGTCTCAAATTGCTTTCTATCCTTTTTACTTTGCACATTGGGACCAAGGCAACGTAATGGTGTTTTAAATTGCCTTCCAATTTTTTTACCTCAGCACACTTACGTTCTCACTGAAAACTTCAATGCTTATCAAATGAACTGTCACGTGCATTAAGTGCGCAGGACCTATTTTTCCGTTGATTAGCTGGTGAAATGATCCGATCCTTTTCGGTCCTATCCATTGTTATTACTAGACCTGGACCCGTGAATGTTCTGGGTGTTCACTCCACATCGCGCCGTAACTCGTCGCTCTTGACTGTAACGTTGCATATTTGTTACGTCTTTTGATGATTTTGCTTTTATGCTGTTCATTTGGTTTTCGAATATGATCCACTAACGAACCGCTGTGTATCTTGCCATCGAGGAGTTATGTGCATATGCAGCGGTCTGCATACACGGCTATCTACTTTTACTCGAAGACAGATTCTTCCGTGATCATTCTCATCAAAGTATACTTAGTCGAACTATGCTACCATAGCCGAATTCCTATCGCTGACACATCTCTAAGAATTGAACTGAACTCAACAGCCTTCGGCCAACTGATGGGAAAACATTGAATGCGTTGTCTTGTGTAATCTCCGATGATTCATGACACTTTTATATCGAGTGCTTTCTCGTGCTCTAAATATACGTTACTATGAATTTTTTTTATCTCCCAGGGTCTACGGCGATAAGGCTGGTGACGTCATTTATGGCCTCAAGAATTGTCCTAGCACAGTGATTCCCTTGGTTATTCAACGGATGCGTCAGAAGGACTCTGAGTGGCGTGAAGCCATCCGAACTTACCAAAGATCCTGGGAGGAGCAAGACTCACGGAATTACCTTCGTTCCCTCGACCATCAAGGCGCATCATTCAAACAACGCGACGCTCCCCTTATTCGGAGCAAGACCATGGTCAGCCAGATAGAAGCGATCGCTCGAGACGACAAGGTGAACACAAAAGCCGAAATATATATTTCTTATGTGATTATTTATGTGTGTCTTACACCTCGTACTCCGTGGCTTAATCATTTGTTGCCGTGAAGCCTATCTGATTGGCTTTGTCTACCGGTTTCACTCTCCTCAGGTACACGGATAGTATTCATGTTCATTTCCACCGTTTTGATGATCCCCCATTAAAGTGCAACATGTTTTCCTTTGGTTCCCACTTTTCTCATCAAGTTGCTTGGAGTGAAGATCCCTAATGCTCTTATTGATATGCACTTCTGTCTTACATGGTGATTTGTATTACAGCATTTCGTTATTTCTCTTACCCAGTCGTGCTGCCCTCTCCAAGATCCCATCGGAACTATGATCTCTGCCTCACTAACACAACCGTGTCTCACAAATAGAACAGACCTCAGGACTCCTGGAACGTTCGGGTCCGCTTTAATCAACGTTAATGAAGGTTACAAAGAACACGGTGCTCCTCATCTCGCTTTGGTCTATCCTCCACCCCAAATTCGTAACGCCCTACTCGAAGACGCTGCCTCATTAATCATTCACCACGTAAAGCGCCAGTCGAATACCAATAAAGAGGATAAACGAACAATGAAGTTTTTGGTGAGCCGCTACACTTCTCTGCCTGCTTATTTAATGACTAATGGCTCATCGCGTTTTCAATTACGCCGTATTTAAGTCATTACCCTCCACCTTCCTGTACACACTCTTAGCCAATCTTTTTGAGCCAACTTCCCATGTGGCTTTGCTTTTACTTCGTAATTCCCTGATTCTCCCCCTTTTCCCGAGATCCGCGCCTCGTCATCCATCAACCTACGGGACCTGTTAAGCACTTGCTTTTATCCCGGGATAAATCATTGTTCAGCCTATATTTCATGTAATATGTGCTTGGCTAGATAAAGTTCATCTATATATAGCAGGATGTTGTCACTGCCGTTCTCATGCACTTTTCGTGCTTACGCACGACCGCAATGTGAACACGAAACACGAGCAAGGACAGGCTCGTATGCAGGGGGATACCGCTTCCTTTTATACATTACATTAGTGTTAGAAGCAAAGCTACTAAAACGATTCGGAGCCAGCAAATAACACAGGAGACACTGAATGACATACGCGAATGGGAAACGGTAAAATATGTCCGAGAGAACAGCATTAGTGGAAATGGATAATGCTGAAACATGCATTACGAACAACATATGCTGAGGCATGTGGATGGGAGCCACATTTCATCAACCGGGCCGGTCCACACTCCTTTAACCTACATAGCAGCAACATTACCGTCTGTCCGATTAGGGAATCATGCACACCAGACGTACACAAGGCGTTGGTTGAGCTGTAGCCCGCTCCACACTGGATGCCTGGAACCACCCTTTGAGCCTAACATGGCGATGAGGACCATGTACCCCGTCCTCTCCAGCAACGAATTTCTGTCTCCAGATGCCAGTATAGGCGAGGTGGTTGGTAATGCATTGGTAGGCACCTTGTCAACATGCACATCAAACGCAGCCACACCCGGGATATCAACCAATAACCAATCCCTGAAATGCTATATTCTCAACACGCAGATACACGTACCGCATCAGCCGCCTGATTGCCTTGGGTTAGTAAATTAAATCGGAAGCAACCCTACTCTGCGTTGCGTTGATGATAAATACGCATTTAGCTTACTCGCCTTTTCTTAGATGTTGGCTCAACGTGGCTTGCTAAGCCAGCTTGGCTCAGGAACTCGCGACTGCATGTGCTACAGCACTGTGCATTCGACGTCAATGTGCTGTCCACCATCTGTGCCTGTTGCTTCTTCAGTCGACGTTTCTTTTCCACATGCAGTAGTGATTTCTCATGAACCTAGGCAAACCGCCCACTTAATAACCTCTTGCCATCGGCGCCGATCCACTGCCATCGCCTCCTGACGCCCAGAATCAACATTATTCCGTGATAAACTCATCTTGATCATGTTCTGGCAACGGAACTTCGGCTTTCCCACGTGCCACTTCTCTGCACGCAGTTGGCCATAATGCAGCTGTTTCGGTATCCGGGTCGAATCCATGCGGAGAACATGTCCGAGCCAACTCAGGTGCCCCAGCAAAATTATGCAGTCCGTTGCATACATGCTACTGCGGCGGAGCACCTCAGTGTCTGCAGCTCGGTCACTCCAGCCGATGCGCAGAATGCGATGCAGACACTGTTCATGGGAGGGCTCCAAATGACGGACGTTCTTTCATTACCCCGTCCAAATTTCTCTGCCGTATATAAGAACGGACTGCACCATAGACTTGTATACCGTAAGCCTCATACCCACAGTGAGCTGACGGTTGTTCCACACACGTTTTTCCAGTGTACCACATGCGACAGCCGTCTTCGATACGCGCACGCGCGGTTCGCTCATCTGCTGGTCGGTAGACAGTACGCTGCCTAGCTAGCAAAATCTCGAAGTGGATTCCTAAACATCGTCGCCAATGTCCATTTGCGGTAGGCTCACTTATTTCAATCCTGGTGAAGGCTGGAAAAGGCAAACAGTCTTACTTGCGTTGATGGGGAGTCCGAATTTGACCGCTATCGAAGCGAGAGCCAGACATGTGCCTCAACTCATCGTCCGTAAACGGCAACATGCGGATGATTGTCTCACACACTATGGTTCCCGCCCCGAAACGATGGAGGTTCTGCAACCCACACTTACTACGTTGCTCCACATGAACATCGTGAGCACAAGCAGCATCAAAAGCACAAGGTATCATTGCATGCAAGTAAACATTAAGTAGAGCAGGAGCTAAGCCACAGTCTTGCTTCACACCAGAGACAACAGCAAAGTCATCGGAGGTTCGTCCACTCAGCTGAACCATCGCCCGCATACTACTGTGCGGACATTCACTTCTAATTACAAACACTCAGACAACCAAACTTACCCTACACCAGCCACAAAGATTCGCGGTTCATCGTGTCAAATACCTTGGTGAGGTCAACAAAATGCAAGTACAATAGCTGGTGTCACTCGCGGCATTTCTCTTGCAATTAACGATCCGCAAACACCATATCTATGACGTTGCGGCCCGGAAGGAACCCACGTTCAGTTCAACGACCTGAGTAACGAGACCGTTGCGCAGGATTCGGAAGATCACTTTCACAACCCAGCAACTTGATGGCACGATAATTCGTGCAACCTTGCTTGCTCCCTTTGCCCCTGTACAGTGGTAGCACAAGTGTATCTTTCAGCTCGGATGGCACACGCTGTTCAAATCACACGCGTTGCACCAAGTGGTGTAGCGCATACATCAAAGCGGGTCTGACGTGTTTCCACTTTGGCGCTATACCGTCAGCTCCAACGCATTTGCCGTTTCGCAACTTAGTAAGTGCTCTCTGCGTGTCATCTAGTGTCGGTGTGTCGGCAAGACATCTTCATCTCTTGTCATTTTAGTCCATGCAACATAGCCCAATCAATCTCTGAACGGTTGTTCAAGGGACACTCAAAGTGCGTTCGCCACATCTGCAGTTTGTGTGCAGGCAGCGCCTGAAGTAGCATTGAGCAGCGTTCTCAGCGGCTGCAATGTGGATCCATACACCGCCTTCAAGGAGTCAAAGAATCATTTCGTTGACGGCGTTTGGCTTAGCATTCCATCTGCTTCGCCTGCTCCGTCCACCATGCATCCTTGATGCGACGGAGCCCTCGAGTCCGTCACCGTCGACGTTTGCGAAAGTGACTTGTTCTCTCATCGACATGGTCATCCACATGTGCAGCGGACGCTACATTCTCCTCTGACACAAATCCGCCATTGTTCGCATTGTTGTCATCAAACCAATCGAGCCGCTTACAGTATGCGCCCGATAATTTCCTCGGCCGCAGCAGTCACCTGTTGACGGATATGGTGCCACAGGCCGCTCACTTAGACAATGGATTTGACATGACAAAGGCGGGTAGCCATCGTCTTCTTCAACTCCCTCCTCAGCAGTACCTAGGGAAGGAACGTTAACTCTACGCCGGTTCACGGCAAGTGAGCAATACATAGATTTACGAAATATATGTACAATTTGCTCCGCACCAATTTGTAATCAGTTCCGCACTCAGCTCTATCCAATACACGAGTCCTGCGCACTTCGCGCATCTCACCATGGCGTACAATGACATGTTCGAGCAGGTCAGCGTGACCACTTCGTGGGTGCGTCCAAGTTCCTATACCACTCGCACCCAGTGCAAACCAGGTGTTCGTGAGAGGCGCACACTTTCCGTTTCGCAGATGAGCAAGTGCTCTCTGCGTCTCATCCAGTGTGGGTGTGTCCGCCAGACTCGTCTTCACATCGTGCTGCTTGAGTCCGTTCAAAGTAGGCCAGTCGAACTCTGGGCGGTTGTTCAATAGACAGTCAAAGTGATTTCGCCAGATCTGCAGTCTGTGTGCGCGCCCGATGGTCTCGGCAGCAGCTGTCACCTGGCCGCGAATGTGGTGCCACAGGTCGCCCACTGTGGCTATGCAGTCCACATCACACAGGCATGTAGCCATCGCCTTCTCCAGCTCAATACGTTTCGCCCCAGTACCGCCGATTCACGGCGGAGTGCAATACATAGATCTACGAAAATATATATACAGCTTGGTCCGCACCAATTTGTGATCAGTGCCACACTCAGCTCCACGCAGTACACGTGTCATGCGCACTTCACGTTTATCACGCTGACGTACGAGCAGGTGCGCGTGACCACTCCGTGGGTGCGTCGAAGTTGCTATATCACACGCACTCATTGCAAACCGAGTGTTCGTGATCGGCAGGTCGTGAGTGGCATATATATATATATATATATATATATATATATATATACATATATATATATATATATATATATATATATATATATATATATATATATATATGATTGTGCCCCATGCTGAGGCTGGTGTTGCATTCTTGATGCTTCTTCATCGCAGTTGGGCTAAACCAACTTACACTTAAACTAGGTCTTTTTAAGGTGGCTAAATTTCATTCCACTTTATTTGGTTTATTCTGCCTACCTGAATGCTCTTCTATTAACTGGCCACGTTGCTTACATTAATTGCGCTAATCTTCGGTAACTTTGTTGCGTTTTGTAACATTTTTAACTAACTTGTGGACATTTTTTCCTTATCGCAGATTCGTTGCTAACCAACTTACTTCATATGCTTATTTAGCTTAGAGTTATGCCACCGTATCTGTATGCATTATTGGATTTGTTTTATTTCATCTTGTCGTTCCAGGTGATTGGCTGTTGCTTGATATGCCCGGTGTGGCTGCGCTTGATGTTCATGTTGACAAGGTGCCTACCTGTCTATTACTCACCACCTCATCCATACTGGCTCCAGGAGACAGTTGGTCGTTGCTGGATGGGACAGGGTGTACGGTCCTTGTGGCCGTGCTAGGCTCGAAGAGTGGTTCCATGCACTGAGTGTGGAGCGGACTACGGTCCAGCCACTGCCTTGTGTGCGCTTGATTCCCCAACTACAGCGTGCTTGTGTTTGCTTGTGAAGGAGTGTGGGCCGGCTCCGTTGATGAAACGTGGCTCCCATTCACATGCCTCCCGGTCTTATTCCTTCGGGTTTACACTGGATACGGGGTGTGTGGGTGGTGCAGCGCAAGCCATCCATGGTCCCTCTGTAGGCGCAGGCGTCCTGTGGCTGGCCACAGTGACAGGTAAATCCGACTCCGGATGCCGCCAACCATATATAGGATTGGATTGGTGGCTCGTTAGATGTCCTGTACGCATCTTTTTAACAACGACTACAGGTAAGTTTTAAGAGAGCCAAGGTTGGGCGAATCGGTTTGAGAGAGCGGTGCGCATTTTGGTGATTTCAGTCTCACTGCAGTTGTGCTTAATGTAGTCTGGTTGATGTGTATTGTCTCGGATAGGTTTGATCGCATCGGCATTCTGACACATTTTCGTTACTGCACAACCGCTTTTATTTCCGATCCGTCATACTTTTTCCCGGTGATTTTGTTTCTTGTTCGTTCCTCTTAAATTGTCCTTTTCGTGGTTCTGGTGTGGTGGTTTATGGCAGTTGACATCCGTCGCTTTTCGATTCAGGGCACAGTGTCCATCCGTTATTGGTGGCTCAGCGTCTTTACCTTTGTCATATTTTGCGGCACAATAACTGTTTCTCACCTCTAGCTAACGTATGTAATGATAATGGTTTACGGATCACGGTAAACCAACCGAACTGACTTGAACCCTACGCACTGGCACCTCGTCGGTTGCGGAATCACTCACACTTCATGGACAGATGAGATGTCATCGACAATGTAACTTCTTTTACTGCTTTTAACACTTCATTTCATTATGCATCATCATATCCTACGAAACCGTTGTTTTACTGGTTAGGGAGTGTAATATAATTATTGTTCCTTCTGACAGTGACTGTCTGACGGGCCCATGGCGACGAGTATGAACCTTATCGTGGTGCGATGGTTTGCGTGCTTCAACGATCCATTTGGCTGTGCTTGGTGATGCTTTTTACGTACCAGTTTGGTCCATGGATAGAGGCCGAACAAACAGTCTTCTTTCCCCCTAATTTGGGGTTGGAGTGACGCTGACTCCTTATCCATCAGCACGTACTCTCTGATGCGGCTTTGAATGCCGGTCAATCCGGCGTTAGTATTGCTTTTAGCACTCGTGTTGACTCTGCTCTGAGCGACTGCACTCCAGTCCGTAACCTGGTGTGCGCCATCAGATTGGCTGGCTCGTTTAAAGCTTCGGGGTCACTCGGGGATAGTAGCCTCTTGTTTGTTATTCTTGCTTATGCCCTCACAAACTGTACCGCTGGCTCCTTGTAAGATGACTTCTGTCCTCAACTTAAAACTTACACATACTGTATCGCTGGTTGGTAATCCGATTGCTCAAATTGTATGTTTTTTGTGCCTTTACTCGTGTGCCAAGAATCGACCTCAATTGAGCTTCTTCATACCTTCCTGTCCGACCACCATCTCATTCCTAATGCAAAGCATGACAGTATTAGTTTTGGTAGTTCTTGTATTTTTCTTTCTGAGGACTTATATTGCATTTCAGCGCAATGCTGAGGTGTTTCCTACCAGTTGCTAGGTTGTAGAATGATGATGGGGATGTTTACAGAGGTCCGAAACCTTATACCCCTCACATTGACCTCGCCTCGAGGGCCAAGTTGTTTACAGCATCCTATTTCGCAACATCATTCCTTTTCTGTAATCAATTGTTTTCACGTGCCTACTATCCTTCGCAGTTATTCTTCGCATTGTCCATCATCACCCATCACTCACCTCGTGGTTCTGATGTTACATCACCAGTTTCTATCATTTGAGCTTAGGAAGTACGAAGTAGCCGCATGTGCAACTGCGAACTTTGCTATCTTAAGCAATCACCTTTTGCGCCAGTTGCATTTCTTTTCCACTGATTGGATGACGTAGATCGGCATCTTATCTAGAGTCTGGACCACTACTCTTTTGAGCTTTGATTCGAATCCAAGTAACTGTCATGTCACAGCATCTTCTCCACTTCTTCTTGGCTTGATCCGCGATCATGCTCGGCGCCTTCATTCAAGTAACGTATCTACTATGCAGTTTTAGTCATAGTTCAGTTTTCACCGATTCTTTCATGCTCCCCGAACCATTTACCGCCTGGATGCATGTTCTGAAGAGCATTTCATCGCTTAGTGGCGCCGTGAGATACTTGGATCGATCGTGCGGTTTACTGGCCACCACGAAATATGGCTTTGTTGTGTGTGATCTGACTTTCTGGTCTTTTAGACCTAAGCCCTCGGCTATGTCCTCATCGCTTCTTTGAATACGAATAGCATTCGGAAACGGTCTCAATACAACTCCCCTATTTCGCGTGCATGTGTAACTTCCTAGATTACACTTGTGTGTTATACTCTGTGCATGCTTTCGTAACAATATACGCCAGCTATTTTCGATTGTCTGTGCCTAGATACATCAGTGTCGTGTTAATGCCAGAAACATTTAGAGTTATTTTGTTTATGGAGCAATGCTCATGGCTTTATAGACGCGACACATTGATTCTCTTTCTTTTCATGAGGAGTAAGGTCAATCGAATTAGTCCTTCTAATAACAGGCCTCTGACGAAACTATAGACTTTGATGTGTTTTGTTGTGTTTTCTTTTACTATTTCTGTACCTTCTTTTGAGTCCCATGGTTTTTGATGGCTCTGTGTCTATTCAGAGACTGTTCCCAATATATTGTTCATAGAGAGTGCAATTGATCGCTAGCCATCTGATAGGTAAGACTACTGGTGGATCATTAGCTCTTACTCCGCCGGACGCGTCCCTTTATACCTTGGGGTTTATTTGCGCTTGAATGCAAAACCACGTTCTAACAACTTATTTCCTGTGAGCCAAAGAACCTTAGAGTTGCGCAGCTATTCGCACGAGGACTTGCGGTGGAAATCTCTATTTTGTCGGTGAATCCAAACTCGATTCAAGACGATGAAGTACCAATCGCGAGTATTCGTAACTATGGGAGTCTCAGTGTTATTCATACCAAACTGCTGTTAGCACCATGACATCTAGTCGCCATGTTGCCGGAATTAGATGGCTCACTCGTGCTACCAGACTTTCGCGAACATGTTGATTTGATAGCGTCGTTTGGTGAATCTGGCTCCCGGAGCTCACTTCATCTGTTATGACGTCAGCTCTTCCTCAATCTGGCGTGTTTTAGTATTCTAACGATTCTGATAGTTTCGGATTGCCATGATGCTTTCGGGGAACCCATTCTTAACTCCGCGTTCTCGTTCAAACACGAATTACTGACTCCGTATTCATTTAAACCGATTAGCTCTTATGCTCTGGATATACCTGCTTCCTCCATAGCTCACCAAGTGGTCGCATAAATGAATACTTACGTTTCCGCCTTCCGTTACACTTTTCTGCCCATTAATTTCCTTTCTACCAGTGGTGCCTCGGGAATTTACTTGCCATATCACTCTTCGGTTCATTGTCTAGTTGATTTTCCCTTTCACAGCAGTCGCCTTACTCTTTAACATCTTTTGTTTCATTAACTTTACCCTGCTTTGGAGTTAGACCATTGTGTCTTCATGCCATCAACCTTTCTCTTTAAACTTACCCAAAACACAACACCACTACGTCGATTTTATACCTAAACTCGTATCCAACCTGGTTTTTGATATCTGTCTTACTCTCCTTTTCAGATGCGAACCGTTGTACAGGATCTATTCATGGCTGATCGGTTTCCTATGTCGGATGATGAGGAGGACGATGACGAAGATGATTTCGATCACAAAGATGATTTAGATGAACTTGACGAATCCGGTGCTGGAGACGAAACTAGTCGAACGCGAAGTGGCCGCCAAACTAGGCTCAAGCGGCCTCGAAAGTATGGCACAGAGAACTCCACTTCGGAAGAAATGGACAATCACCAGCAATCTCCTAGACTTGACTCAGAAGCAGCGAGATCACGAATTAGCGCTCCTGAACTCTCCGGGGATAAATTCGGGTCAAATGCAGCCCCCTCATCTACTTTGGATAATTGGCGCTCACCAGCACATTATGACGCTTGTTCGTCGATCGGGTTCCCCTGCGACATCAGCTATCCAACGGAGGAGCACTATTCGGTCCTGTATGGAAATGACCACTGGTATATACCTGTGTTGTTGCCCTATCTTTGCTTTATCTTCACCACTTGATTTTCCTTTGAATTATACAGTTATAACCTGGCCAGCACACTTCCTACCGGCTGACGATCATCGAGTGTCCCCAACTTGAGCCAAGCATCAGTTCATAATCTCACAAGCTTGGTTTAGTGCTCTAAGTCTTCCTGTGGCACAATCTTCCTTTATACCGCTGGTACCTGTTTCATTTTTTCTTCTCTATGTCGATATGCGCAATGATAGGCGGTTTGCATATGCTGCGCCGATTTTTCCGCAATGGTTCACTTTTGGTCTAGCGTTCGGTTGCATTTCGGAACCAGAGTCGTTTCTGGTGGTTGTCAACCGTCATCTCTGTCTTTGCAATTGGCCATGGACTTCGCACGAAAATTACCACTGTATCAGTCTCATCTGGATTGTCCACCGACCACACACGTGCAACATGCCGCTGTGGCTGCCGTGGACTAACCAGTAATAATCAACCTTGTTTTCTCTTGACATAGAGTGCATCGGTGACATTGTGACTCTTTGCTAAATGCTTCGGCATTGTCATACAAGATGCCCATCACGGTACTCTTCCTTGACCTAAATGCTTCATTTGCTTCCGCTAATCGTTGCTCTTTGTGGCGACGTCTAACTCTAAAGGGTGCGTCTGAGAAGTTTCCCTTTTTCTATGCCACAACTACTGGGGATGTGTGAAGAGGATGCCCTCCTGAACCCGCCACTGTAGGTAGTGTACTTGGGAACTATCTTTGTGAGCTGGGTGCTCATGAATGACTCCCGTTACATTCTACCTCCCCTGGGACAGAAGTACTATTAGGTGATAGGCTGTCAAACAGACTAGGAGGATTAGGTAGATCTTAGATCACACCTAGCTATTATGCAACAGACGATTGTTGGTCTAATGCGTAGCTCTGCGTGCCTCAGCACTTAACGCTCTGTTGTAGGCTTAGCTAGGCACACCAGCAGTGCTCATAATTATGGAACAGTCGCTCAAAATTGCGGACGGGTTTACTTATTTAGTTAGTGCATCATCCCTGGCGGTTCCATTACTTAGTAGATCACCACACGCTTTGTCTAAAATCGTTTGGCTTTACTGAGCATCTCTCACTTAGGTTGGCGGGACATAGACTTGTTGATTAAGAGAATGGTTTGCGACGCGTCGGTGCGTCCAGTGTGGCCGTATGAATCACATATCTACGCGCGCAAGAGATTAGAAGACTGGCCATTTTCAGCCACCAGTGCCTACGCATTGTCCCTCATGTACTGTTGTAGCACCGAATGAGTTAACCAGACTCTTGGGAGTGCCTGCTGAACTCCAATCATCTACAGTGATTCAACCGTGTTCAACACGCCAGCCAATTGATTGCCTCAATGTGTGTTTATCTATATAGTACCAATTCTGACCAACTCCGGAGGCGGCCAATGAATGAGTTGGCGAAAACGCATCCGGGCAGGCTAAGCACGATTGTTATCTGGCTTGATCTCCGGGGCCGGTCACAATACTGGTTTGACACCCCATCATCATCATTGCACATTAGCTGTAGGTGTTATACACACTTCGGCTTACTGTGTCGCAGTACAAAGATATATGAGAAAGCGAGATACCAAACATTACAGAATACAGCAACTAATAAAAGCAGGTGATATGAGTTCAAAAGTATCCATGCGGTGCGAGATCGTTCTTGTAGGGGAAGCTCAGCGGGAAGGGGAGGAACAAAGAAACAACACGAATGCCATTAAGGTCGGCTGTTGGCCATAACAACTTGTGTATCCAGCCAAACGTGTTCATCGTCCTTTGTACCCCACCCCATCGGATATGACAGTCGCGATCGTGACTGTCATATCAGGCAGACGGACTTCGAAGTCGTGTCTGCGAGCTACTTTTTTGCTGCTTATTGTTGCCCTGGCGACGCGAGCCACGGCAATTGGAGCCACTGGATTTCGGTACTCGGATCATCATCACTGTTTACTTGAATGTAAATGGACCTAATCATTTCACGAAGTTACGAGCCGTTTGTTTTGCTTGCAGTGACTTTCGTCTTGCTATTCCTTGTTCAACTTTGTTTAGGTATGCCTTTCTGCGACTTCATCATCTGTTGATCTGTAGACTCCATCTGCTGCGTTCACGTGGAGAAGAGTTGATGGAAAAAGCCGCTTCCGAGAATGGGTGTAGTCCGGTTCAGGCCGCCGAAGTCCTCCGGCTGAAGCGATGTGGTAAGCGCCATGTGAAGTCCACATTTTGCCGACTTTCATCGAGTGTACCTATCGATTGCCGTCTTACTGTTTACGCGGTAGTCATACTGCAGTGTTCTCAGTCATGGCTTGTTCATTGACCACTACTATTGCCACTGAACAAGTGTTGTGTTCGCTTTAGCTACCTTCTTGAACAGCCGTTTAGCTGGTCTTCCATCCACTGATGCAACTGCTCTCATTGCTATAACCGGGCATTTGCCCTCTGTGCTGATGTAAATAAGTGCGAATTGACAGACTGTGAACTGTTTTCGATTCTTATTATTATCCTGACAGTATACATCAATGCATCGGTTCTTTGTGCTTGGTTGTTCTTGAAATCGATTAACTTGATCAATGTTCTAAGGGTATTTACCAGTATGGATCATCCGGTCATGCAATTAAAATCACTTATCGCTTCGGCATGTCACTTCATTATAGAGCACGGTCACCTTATTGGACTGTAATTGAGCAGGCTTCGACATATACGCTGCAATCGTATGGTCGACCATATCACTATTTACAGTGCCGTGGCAGCATAATACGAAACTAATAGTACTAACACTCAAGCGGCACATTTTTGGATAAACGACAGACGTACATAATGTCAATGCTACCCCTATCTGCAAAATGGATGGCTTCCACTTTGAAGCACAGGGTGCATTCTGTTTTCAAGCCTCGATCCAATTTCCGCCGTAGGTTTAGCTGTGTTGGTTCTGTCGCCAAGTGCTTGACATAGGGAATCGGTGAACTTCTCTCAACCATTATCCGATGTCATCACCTCAACACCTGACTTGATAAGGCTGATCATGTCATCGTAATGTTTGAGGTTCCTCACATTACACTGCTACCGAGGTTGTTCTCACAAACTCTTAAGTTGGCTGTCTTCACCATGAGACAATCATTTCATTTGACAAAGCGACTGTGGTCGTACGCTGCCTGAGACCTCGGTCGAAATGTGCACGATTACTTGGCCATCTGAATACTGCGAAAATGTAGCGAGTAGAGCTACCTCCTTGTAGGTACACCTACTATATCTTAAGCAAATTGACCTATTATGATGGTGAGTATTCTCAAAATCTCAAGCCGGCAAAGTGCGAGTCCAGGAGTTTCTTAAGCTCCGACATCAACTGCTTCGACTATGTCTGCACGCAGGTTGTTCTAAATATTCACCATCCTCCGCCCGAAACAGAGTTGGTGAGCCACTCAAAGCAGAGTTGATGAGCCACCCGCTTCAAATCCAATGCGACAAGCTTGTACCGGTGTCCTCGTGTGCTGCTTGTTGGGCGCAGATGCAGCAGCGGCCTCAACATGGGGCACTCGTCCAGATGTACTATCCGGTGCGTCATGACAAGTTCCACCCGCATTCGACGATAAGACAGGGTGTACAGCCCTAGTCTCTTGCACCGGTCTTCATATGGCACACCTCGTAAACCGGGGATGAATAATAAATGATAATAATAAATAATAAACCGGGAATGAGCCTTTTGGCCATATACTGTACCCGCTCAATCCTTTGCGCCTCGTCCCGGTTGAGCGGACAGTAGGCGGGTGATGTGTACTCTGGTCTGATGATAGAAGAGAAGAGACCAGTGGCAACCTCTTCGGCGCAATTGCAGAAGCTGTGTTTGAGTGCCCAGAGCATGCACATTCCGTTTTGGTAAAGCCTGTTCGTGTTTTCAACGGATTTCAAATCGCAGCGTGAGTGCGCCGAGATCTTTCACGGATGGCGATGGGTGTAACTGTTTGCCGGTCAGATTGTAGACTCAGACATTACAACCCTTGCCCAGGCTCATGAATACCGACTTGACTGGGTTAATCGAAAGGTTGACCTTTGTTGACCACATGGAGAGGCGGTCAAGGTCACGCTGAAGCAGGTCGCAGTCGTCGGGCGCCTCAATTACTCTCCATACCTTAAGGTCATGTGCAAAAAACCCGCAAAGTGAACTGAGAAGCTGAGGTAAATCGTTGATGTGGATCAGGAACAAAACATGCCCAAGGACTGTGCCTTGCGGGACGCCACTGGTCAAGGGATACCACTCGGTCAAGTGGCTGTCCACATGCACCCTCCACGTCCGACCAATAAGGAAGTCACTGATCCACTAGTGCAGTGGGCCACCAACACCATCTTCAGCTTCCGTAGGAGGATCTCATGGTTCACCTTGTCAAACGCTTTACTGAAGTCGATGTAAATGACGTCAACCGACTTTCCTTGGTTTAGCGATTGCAACCATTCGTGTCTCGAGAGCAGCAGGTTTGTGATGCATGATCGAGCTTTCATGAAACCGTGCTGCGCTTGCGCCAAGATGCTTTTCGACTCGAGATGTTGCAGAAGACCGCGCTTCACAATCTTCTCGAGTGTCTTAGCCAAAACAGAAGTCAGGCATATCAGCCGGTAATTGTCCATCTCGCTCGGATCGCCGTCTTTCGGAATCGGTTTCACCACTGAGCATTTCCAGTCACTCGGCACTGAACCGTCGGACAGCCATCTGTTGAATAGCTCAGTTACTGAAGGCGAGATGATGGCCGATAGAGATTTGTGCATCAGCGTTTGGAGCCCGGCAGGCTTGATACCGTCAAGCCTGGCGAGCAATTTGCGCTTATCAAGCTTGCAATCCAGGCTGTGCAGCTCGGCAGGGGCGATTAGCGTCAAACTCGGTACGGCACCTGGTTATCTGTAACATCGGAAGCGAAGTGCACCGCCAGTGCGGAAGTACTTTCAGTGCTGGAAACTAGGGGCTGCCCCTCCGTGCCCTCCAACACAGGCACATCACTTGTCAGCTTCATGCGTTGCTTCATGTATGCAAAGATCATCTTGGGAGCTGTTTTTGCTGCGGTTGCAAGCTACTCTTCTAAATTTCGGCATTTGCTGGTTTTCGCCTTGTTGCTGGTATTTCCTTACCTCTTGTACTCCTCATAAGCTTCGGCAGAGCCAGATCGCACGCATTTATTCCAAAGCCGGCGTCGCCGTCGAGCCAGTTTGCTATACTCCTTATCAAACCATTGTGGCTTGACTGGTTCAGCTTTCCGATATTTGAGGGACACAAATCGGGCGCACAATGATTTTACTCCCTCTTTTATGATAGACCAACAGACTTCAACTGATGCATCTTGTGATAGCGACCAGTCCATTAGACTTGCGACTCGATTGAGACCATTAAATTCCGCCTTCCAATAGTTGAAGGCTGGCTCCAGCCGAGGAATAAATGGCAATGTCAGCTTCAAGCTCGCAATGGCCATCGAGTGATCACCAGCTGCCAAGGGCTCTAGTACTTGAACGTCACGCACATGTTGATCGCAGTTGGTCAGCAACAAGTCCGTGAACAATGGAGTCCAGCGCGCAATAATGCGCGTCGGCTGATTGATGTGCTATGTGCCCCCAGTTTCAAACATCTCCGCAAACTTCGTCACGACTTCGCAGTGGCCGGGGAGAAACTCGACTTCGGGACACCGTATTCGAGGAAGGTTGAAATCGCCCATGAGCAGGAATTGCGGACGACTTATGTGGTTGCGTACATGAAGCAACCAGTCCCAGCTGCGGCTCGGTGAACTGCGATACACAACGCCCACGGGGAGCTCGCCGCGTCTCAGGCGGATCGAACACCATAGCTGCTCACACAGGCCATCACCGCTTCTGTAGATGCTCACGAGTCTCCCGCACAAGGAAGATCGTATGTATAGCGGCACGCCACCGCGGTCATTTGATAGCTTATCACAGCGGAAGGGAGAATATCCGCTGATTTCGATTTCTTGTGCGCTTATCTCGAAATCAACCAGGTTTCATCTGGGCCCAATACGTCCGGTTGCCGAGAGGCAATGAAATGGCAAACGTCTTCTCGTTTGTTCATTAGACTACAAACATTCTTAAAGGATACACGCAGGCCGCGGTAGGAACCGTCGGGCGTGCATGAAGCATTAGCGACCTGTTAATCCGGATTCATGGAGGAACCCGAGTAACTATTCGAAAATTTACAGTGTGGAGATTTGTTTCACCGTTTTCAGTGCACCGCTTTAGTTCACTCACGGCAGACTTAAGTTTTTCTCGGCCTACTGGACCCATGTCTGCGCGCACATGGATCTTCAAACCCTCAAGTCTACCGAGGCGCGATAATATCAACCTCGGACCTGTTTCGTCAGCAAAAGTGACCCTCATGGGTCATACTTTTCCCTCAGTTTTCTTTCCCAGACGGGCCGTTTGCTTCACTTTCAGCCCGTCTTCACCGACGTCGAGCAGTCTATCAACCAGATTCTGCAGAAACTCGATGTCGTGTTCATAGCGTATCTGAGGGTTCGAATCCGACGATTCAGGTACGTGGAAGACCATCAAGTTGCGGCGCCTCAAGTCGCTGAACGTCGTTTTCGGTTTCTTTGGCTTTTGCGTTTGTCAGAGGTCATCACTACCTGGCTTGTCACACACTCGAGTTGCAGTGTCCGTCGAGGGAGAAGCAAGTGGTAAAGAGAGGCCACTCGGTAATCTAGGAATTCGCCCAGCAGAGCTGATGGTAGACGTGCAAGGTGCTTGTATCTGGGCCTTTTGCGCAGAACTTACGGAGCTGTGGGCCTTGGAACGCCTCGCTTTACCGGTCCGTTGATTAGGTTTCCCAGGGGACTTGGGCTGCAGTTTGCACTGGCACTCCTTACATATAATCTTGACAAACTTTTACTGTTCCCAATCTCACGAATCCTTTTGCATTATTCGGTTTTAAAAGTCATACATTAAAAATAGTCCTCTATGTGGTACGTTACCTCACTAGATAGTCGTATTCTTCAATTCTCTTGGCTTTTTGCCGACTGGGTTGGGCACATCTACTGATCTCATATAAGTTGAAGTGCATTGTTCCACATTAGATGATCTTTTGGGAGTACTCGTGTGAGACTGGATCGCGACATGCAATCTCCGTGTAGACCGCGGCTCACATTGTGATGAACTTTCGTTGATTTGGTCACTGGAATCGCATCTGAAGCCTATGGATGCTGGGTGTTGT